GACTGCTACGCAGCTGGTTGGGCTGCCGAGGGCACATGGGCGCCCAACGACCTATTTGGCAAGCTCAACAGCAACCTTGAGCTATTGGCCAGGGCTACCCCTGGCATTGAGCTCACTTTTGGCCACGTCAAGGGTCACTCCGACCACCCTTGGAACGACATGGCTGACTATGTTGCAAAGACGGCCTCCCATGCCAACAGAACCTGGCCAGTGCCACCTGATGAAGTTTGTCGACAAGCACAACAATCTGACCTCTCATGGCTGGCTGCAGAGGTAGACGCACAAAGCAACCATGCCACACCCATCTACGATGGCCAACTCCAATGGAGGCCACCCGACGACCTCCCCAGTGGACTGTCCTCTCACGACTTGATCCCTATCCAACACACCGCTCAGGAGGGGACACTCAATGCGAAGGCCTTCAGCATCGAAATCGCAACGATCAACATACAAGGCCTGCGCTCCAAGTTCAAGTACGTCGAGGAGCAGCTACACGAGAGGCAAGTCAACCTTGCTTTCCTCCAGGAAACCAAAACCCCCCTCTGGAGTTGCAATGTCGAACCGCTACCTGCGACTCCACTCGGATGCGGCTACACACTGGGGCACTGCTATATGGGTACACCGGACCCTTGGCATCCTCACCACCGACTCTGGGCCGCTTCGCGTTGACGAGAATGATATTTCTGTCTTGCACGAGAGCCCAAGATTGCTGGTACTACTGATCAGTGTCGGCCAGCTAAAAATTGGGGTTCTCAGTGGCCACTGCCCATATGAGGCTCGTGGAGAAGAGCGCCGATTCTTCATTGACTCACTTCGCCACTGCCTGGACAGAATCAAGAAGGTCAACATCCTTGTCGGCGGCCTGGACCTCAATGGCCGGATTCCGGCCAACTACAAGGGAGTCAGCGGCGATGCAGAGTTTGGTGACAGCGATAAAACTGGCTGGCTTGCTGCCAGCCTCTTCTCCGACATGGGGGTGTGGGTGCCCTCACTTTTCGGGTCGCTACACTGTGGAGAGCATGCCACATATGTTCATCCCTCCGGCACTGCCCATCGCATTGATTATCACATCATTGGAGGACAGGCTGTTGTCGATCGAGCCAGGTCGCATGTCCATGAAGAAGTCTCCAAGATGACCATCACCTACTCCGTCTGCACATCTCTGGGTTTGCAGAAGGTACCTTTGGCCGAGGATCACTCCGGCGAGTACGCTATGACGTTGACAAGATGTCCACGCCAGTCGGAAGACAGCGGCTCAGAACAGGCTTTGAAGCGTTCCAGCAGCCGACGTGGAATGTCCACCCCGACAAGCATTGCATGCTCCTAGAGAACCACATCAGGGACATCCTCGACAAGGACTTTGCCCTGGCCCCTAAGCAGCATGCTGCCTCCTACATCCCTGCCACTGTATGGTCGCGACGTGACCTGAAGATTAAGTTCAAAAAGCGGACCAGAGGCAGACTCCACTTGTGGAAAGACTTACTCTGCCGTGCTTTTCTACAATGGAAGGAAAAGGCAGATTATGGAGTTGAACGACTTGTCAACAAGCAGGGACTCCTATATGCTCTTGCATCTGCGGCCATCAAGATCATCGCCCTCAGCATCCGCAAGGACATTGCAGTTGCTAAAAACGATTTCCTGCAGAAGGTCGCAAAAGAGGGACACCAGGGAGCAGCGAAGGTCCTACAAAGGGTGAAACAAGCTGGAGTCGGAGGTTCAAAAACCAGGCCGATTCAACGACCCCTACCACTCCTCTACCACCCGGACGACGGCTCCATTGTCACTACAAAATCGCAGCGAGATGATGTCTGGTTGAGCCACTTCGCCAAACAGGAGCAAGGTGAAATCGTCACGACCGAACAGTACCTCGTCGACACGGCCGCAGGCCGTTATGAGGAGGATCTCCAATGGTCCACTGACTTCCTCCCCACATACCTTGACATCTCCCAAGTCCTGCGAGGCATTGGCAACAGGAAGGCGGCTGGGTTGGACAACATTCCTGGGGACGCCCTAGCCGCGGCTCCCACGGCATGCGCTAGACTCCTCCAGCCGCTCTTCTTGAAATCACTTCTCTGGCAGCGCCAGCCGTCGCAGTGGCGCAGCGGAATTCTGTACGAAGCATACAAGCGCTCCGGACTTCAGAGCAGTGTCGCGAACTACAGGAGCTTGTTTGTGTCCAACCAGCTCGCGAAGGCCTACCACCGCACAGTGCGAAATGCTGCACAGGCCGCGGGGCGAGAGGAGCTGCACAGTCTGCACTTAGGCTCCAAAAGACATTGTCCTGTGCAGTTCGCTTCGCTCTTTATCCTCTCACACCTGCGACGCTGCAAAGTGCACCGAAAGTGTGCGTCTGTGCTTTTCTTGGACACTGCTTCGGCTTATTACAGGATCATCCGAGAACTTGCCCTCGGAGACATCCGACTGGACAACACCATCCAGGTACTGTTCAGGAGGTTCGGGCTCAACCAAGAGGATATGAGAGATCTCTTGGAAACGATTACTGATGGAGGGATGCTCTCTCAATCAGGAGTCCCGCCTGCGCTATGCCGAGCAGTTCAAGATCTCCACTGGAACACTTGGTGCATTACACGGTTTTCAAGTGGAGAGCGCATCTGCAACAGTTACGCTGGGAGCCGCCCAGGCGAGTCCTGGGCCGTCCTTCACCGGATTCAGGAATTTGTTGCAGCAGAAGGACTTGGACATCACCTGCCCCACAACCCGACCGACGGTGTTTTCTGTACTGATCCCGGAGATGTACTACTGCCCAGCTCAGAAGCTACGTGGGCTGATGATTCAGCCTTTCCTTTGGAGGCTGACTGCCCAGAGGTCTTGCTCACCAACACCAGCCGCCTCTGCTCACTTGTGGTGTCGTGCTGCGAAAGCCACGGGATGACCCCGAACTTGCGTCCCGGGAAGACAAGCCTCTTGATAAGCCTGGTGGGCAAGGGGACCGAGCGGGCTAGGCGACGTCACTTCAAGCAAGGGGCACAACACCTTCACCTCCCCGACTTGGATGTGAACATCCCCGTCATGCAGCAGTACAAGCATCTCGGCGGCTACATCGACCACAAGCTCTCCATGCATCCTGAGGTCCGCTTTAGGCTGGCTCAAGCTGGAAGCTCCTACGACGATGCCAAGAAGATCCTACTGAACAACCCAGGGTTGGATCTAGAGACGCGGGCTGCTATCTTCGCCTCTGCCGTGACCCCGAGCATATTCAATGTGGGCCAGTGGCTTCCAACTGGCCCTGCCTGGAGTGCCCTTGAAGCAGGCTACTCCAAACTGGTCCGGAGACTGCTTGCCAGAAAGTCCAAGGATGATCTGTTCCATATCCCTCTCCCACTCGCACATGGACTCACCAACTGCTGGACACTCTCCCTGGTTGCGAGACGTGCTCGTTTGAGTCTTCTGATCTCACTGGTTATTGCAGGCCCCCCGCTTCTCTGGGCTGCCCTTCAGGCTGAGAAGACGTGGCTCTTGACCATTCAGAATGACCTCCAGTGGCTAGTAAACGACCAAGGTGAACGTTGGCCCCCGCTTCATGCAGGTGCATGGCCACTTTGGAAACGGCTCATCACTGATCACACCCAGCAATTCCGCGCCAGGGTCCGACGACGGCTTCAACAAACACATGTAGAGCAGTGCAAACAAGGACTTGAGCTTCTTTGCCTGTGGCACTGCCATCGACAGCTGAACAGTCTTGAAATGCCCCCTCGATGCACCATGAGCTGGACTTGCCGCCAAGTCATTCCGCTCCAAGGCGGCTCTCGGCGTGCACCTCTTCAAAAGCCATGGCCGAGTCGCTGACTACCGCCATGTCACGATTGGCTCAAGATGCAAAGCGTGTCACAGAGAATTCTGGACACATGGTCGCCTCGCTCGACACTTGCGAGACAATGCGGCATGTGTTCAGAGCCTCAAAAATGCAGGGATCTGGGCCAATCAAGTTCAAGCTGGTGCTGGGAGTACCAACCGACGCAAGCTGGATGTTGAGCAGTTCACCCTCTCAGTCCCAGCACAACAACATGGCACTCCCTTACCACGTGGAACCAATGTCTGGACTACAGCACAGTCAGATGCCTATAAAGACATCTGTGAGCAGCTCTTCGCCATCCCCGAGGATGCCAGTTCCGAGGCGATCCGGAAGATAGCAGAAGACTCCCTCCTCTACGCGCCGCTCTACCCCAATGAGATCCTGGAGGTATGCGACCTTCTGTTGGAGGAGATCAATGTGCTTCAGTCAGACGAGGTCATCCGCCCGTGGAGCGACAACGTGCAAGCTGAGCTCCACAGGGCTTTCGATGATATCAGTGCTCGTTGCTGGACGACCGCGCCCTCGCAAGGAGTCGATGTGAAGCATCCTACGCTGGCTACGTTCACAACTTTGTTTAGCAAAGTTGATTGGGGTGCCAGACTATTCCGACTCAATGAGCCGCACGGGACCCCTGAGACTGCTGTTATCACTGTGCAGGGTAGCTGGGAAGCTGAATGGCTCCTGCAATGTAAACGAGTCTCAGTTTCAGCCGTGCGCGCTGACTTGAGCTGTCTATTGCCAAAGCCGATACTGAGGGCCTGGCAGGAACTCCTACAGGGAAGATCCATACAGCTGCAGGCCCCAGATAGCTTTTGGCATTCGCCCATCAGTGCACCATTTCGAAGTGCCAGGGCGCCGCTTGCAAGCCCTAATTAAGCTGCGCACTCCACTAACAGCACGGAAATGCGAAATGCGAAATATATATATATATATATATATATTATACTTACATGTGTATATATATATATACACACATGTATATGTATACATATGTATGTATATATATATATATATGTATATGTTTTAATATTTATTAAGTATTTGTTTATACACACCATTCATGCACTTAATTGCACCACTTGGCGTTTTACGTCTTGGTAGGCATGCGTACATACCTACATCAAAACATACCCGCCACATACTCAAACGAAGGACCCCTTGACCCTGAAACTCTTGGGCTCCCCACGCTGAAAGTGCTCGAGGGCTGCATCCTGTGCTGAAAAGCACCGCTTCGGGATGAGGTGTTAGGGTTTAAAGTGTCTTCGTTTTGCAGTTTCCGCTTAAAACATCGTTGGGGGTTTTAGCATTTCTGGAGTTTCGGGAACGCTCACTAAAGAACGGAAGTTGGCGTCACAGGCCGGGGTGCCCGGTTGATGTGGGCTCTTTCCTATCTTACTACTTCTCACTCATTCTAAATGTCCTTCTAAATAAATGCTGATTTCGACCCGCGCCTGCTAACGCGCCGGGATTGTACTCCCCACCGTGTCACCAGCACTCCCCATACTGACGCTCCCATGGGATTGGCAGGGGAGCACAAGACTCAAGGCCCAGCAGACAGCAACATTTTCGGAAAGTTTACAGTAGAAGCCAGAAAGTTGGAATATCATTATCGTAACCCCTTTAAGGTAAATTATTGGGGATCCTACCATCAATCCATATTCCAACTTTCTGGAGTTCCCTTTAGGGTCTTGGGTCTGGCAAACACCACGGATCATCCAGATGCTGACTGTTGCAGGGACCGGGCAGTCAAGTTTGTTTGAAGCACATTCGACTCAACATCTGCGACCTTCACAGCATCTTCACATAAATGAAACAAACTTGTGTATCAATCAAAACAGCCTTTTATCAACCAACACTTGTCACTTGTTCTTCTGAGGCGTCTCATTCTTCTTCTTCTTCTTACTATTGGCCTCAGTCTGCCACGTCTTCAACGCCAGCATCAGTATACCCTTCATCATCACCATGGCACTGTCAATTGTCTTTGTCGCTTCATCATCGAACATCACGATCAAAATGATCATCATCAGTGCCCTGCCTTTTTGTCACGAACATCCTTTTCGTCGACAGCAGCACTAGAATCGCTACCTGGTCCAGCACGGCTTGCAATACCTCAAGACATGGCCACCTTCACCACTATCGTGACCAACAACATCGTCGTCTCCGCCACCATCATCACCACTACCACAGTCATTATCATAGTGCTCTCATGCTCATGCTCATCGTCATCATCATTTCCATCATCATGGACGAAGTTCACGGTGCACAAGAAGCCAACAGTTGCAAGTACCATCATCGCCTCAGCGTTAAACCGTATGTGCTCCTAAAAGGGTCCTAAACCCCAATGGCCCAGCACCCCTATGACTCCGAGTGTGCAAATAATGCCCACTTGAAGGTTTTAAAGTTTACAAACAATATCTATCTGGGTCTTTTTCCGTGTACCCTGAACACGAAACCTCGAAACCCCTACATAAGCCCTCAAAAAAGCTCAACCCTAAACCTCCAGCCCTTAAAGGGTACCCCGAGGGACCTCGGCACTGCGGACGCCCGGTGCTGCGCTGGCACCCGGGCTCGCGCAGTGGACCTGGGAGAATAACATACCACAAGGCTCCATGTAGCCGTATAGTATGTAGTATGTATAATATAGGGTTCCTTCTAAGGGCTCCTAGAAGGGTTCTATAAGGGTACCATAGGAGTAACATACATAGGTTAGAAGGCCCCCCCTCCTGTAATAGTGAGTATAAGGATTATATTAGGGTCCTACTATATTCCTACTATTCCACTGTTACAGGGGTGAGGGGCCCTGTAGCAATATAGTATGTATAATAAAGGCTTCCTTTTTTAAGGGCTCCTGTAAGGGTTCTATAAGGGTTTAAGGTTTAGGGCTTGTGGCTCCATGCAGCCATATAGTATATAGTATACACTTCGGCCTCGAAGTACCTATATAGGAACCCCTTTAAGGCCTAAGTATATACTACATGGGCACATGGAGCCTTAGGGATAGGGGTCCTTCATAGCCGGTTTAAGGTTTGGGGTTTAGAAAACCTGCATAACTAGACTGTGGTTTAGGGTCTAATCAAGCATCTGCCAGATGACGGAATTACGGAAGTTAGGGTTTAGGATTCAGGAACGGTCAACAACAATTTGCAACTAATCAGGCTTCCATAGTAGTGTCTGGAGTGCATCTCTTTCCTCAACCAAGCACACTCTTCTTCAAAGCTTTCCCTTTCCTGGGTCGTGGGCGCCACGGGCTTGCTCGGAGTCGAACTGGTGAACGTTCTTTCGGCCAGCCTGGCCAACAGGCAGATGGAGATTTCTCTAGGATTCGCGCTTCCCAAACTCGCTGGAGTTAGTTCCTCCCGGGCTAGAGTAGAGTAGACTGCTGGTTTGCCGATCTATCTATCTGTTTACCCTCTATCTAGCTATGTATCTATCCGTCCATCTATCTATCTAACCCAACTGCCTGTATTGCCGTATCTGTCCATCCATAATTTTTCTATCTGTCTTTCTATCTATCTACCTGCCCGTCTATCTACATATCTATGTCTATGTATCTAACTGAATCTAACTGTCTCCTTTCCTGTCTGTCTATCTCTCCCTCTCTTCCTCTCTCTCTCTCTCTCTCTCTCTCTCTCTCTCTCCTCTCTCTCTCTCTCTCTATCTCTCTCTCTGTCTCTCTGTCTCTCTCATCCTATCAATCTATCTACCTAGCTTGCCGGCTAACTTTCCGTCTATACATCTATAGATCCATATATCGATTTGATTGTTTATCGCCATCGATCTATCTGTCTATCTGTACATCTGTGTAGTTGCCTAACTGTCTCCCTATCAGTCTGTCTGGTCTGGTCTTCCTGCTCTGGTCTGTCTCTGTCCGTGCGTCTGTCTGTTAACCTATCTACCTATCTGTCTGGCTATGTACCTACCTATCTATCTATGCGTCTATCCATCTATCTATATATCTATGTATCCGTCCATCTAACGATGTATCTACCCATCTAAGTAGCACCGTTATGTATGTGTGGTGTGCATAATAACATACTGGCATATGAAAATTAAGCGTTGATAAATAAACAGTTGAATCTGCAATCGTCTACATTAATGCGCAAAGAGTTGGTTGCAGCTCAAGCATAAGCCGACCTGCTCTGCTTACTGCGGCATAAGGCCAACCTTTGCGAACATACCCAAACTCGACTACTGCACAAGGGTTGAAGCTGGCGAAGCTGCAGGAAATCTCGAGATTGAAACCCTAAACCCTAAACTGTAATCCGTACCTGCGGATCCAAAATCCCACTGTTTTTGGGCTTAGACCCTACAAAAAAGAGGGTCAAAACCTACTAGTTTTGTAGGGTTTGGGGATGCAGGTAAGCCCTAAACTCTAAACCCCACGCCCCGAAACCCTAGACTCCTAGAGGGCCCCCCAAAAAACACATAAGCAAAAAGAAGGATAGGGAGATCCCAAAGCAACCCCCTTATATACTGAAGCCCAAGAAAGGTAGGGATATATCCCCATAAAATGCTTGTGCTTATGTGCTTTTTGGGTCCCAAATCCTAGACCCTCAACTCTGTTATTCCGAGACCTTCCAAAATCCCTTCATTGAGGAATATTCCTCAAAATCATATTAGGGATCCGACTGTAATTTAGGGAACATTCCTGATTTCAGGGACTTTGGAAGATCTGCTATTCTTTGGCGGCGGGCGAGGGGGCGATCTCCAGGAAGTACTCGCAGGGCTTGCGGCACGCTGGCATGAGATCCTGAAGGCACCCTGAAGCTCCATGTGGCCATGTAGTATGCATCGTATAGGGTTCCTTTTAAGGGCTCCTATAAGGGTTCTATGAGGGTACCACAAGGGTTTAAGATTTAGGGTTTGAGGCTCCATGTGGCCATATAGTATACACTTAGGCAGTAAAGTACCTATATAGGAACCCCTCTACGGCCTAAGTATATACTATATGGGTCCATGGAGCCTGTGTCAGAGCCGTTCCTCGTGAAGTACTTGACGCCCAAACCCCTAAACACTAACCCTAAACCTAAACTTCAAGACCCCAAGCCCTAAGCCCTAAACCCTATAGATCCCTTACGGATCCCTTTAAAGGAACCCGTATGGATGCCTTTAAGCCCTAACCCAACTCGAAAACAGACCAAGCCCATGACCTTACGGAGTCTTAACAAGATTGAACCGTGGATGATGCTTTTCCCAATCCATGGTCCATGTGCCCAAATCAAAACAGTCTACACTTCCACCCGCAAAG